CAAAAAAAAAAACTCGCAAGTCAACTCTTTAGACCAAAGCTTATATACCTAAAAAGAACTTACTTGCTTGGATCGAAGTGAATAACTTGATCATCAGCTAGATGATCATGGGGATTTTACACTGATAATGCTCTAAAATAGTTAAGAGGATAGTCATTAGGCACGCTCGTAAAAACTTTTTTGGGGAATCATGGACAAATATTGTTCATTTGCACCATCGGCCTTAAATATACTCCCTCCGTGTCAAAATATAAGACGTTTTTTGGTCTAAATCTAGACCAAAAGACCAAAAAACATCTTATATTTTGATAGAGAGATATTTCACTTGTTCAATATATATTTCAATCATTCAAACCTTATGTCATGGTATCTGATGAAATATCAAACAGATCATTTAGAGACCAGCAGCTCACGCCCAAAGATTTCGTCTGTTGATATCTGGAGCCCTCTGAGTGACATATTCAAACAACAAATACATTGTTATAAACAAATCAACAAATAACCATCAAATGCACATAAAGAAATAAAGACTTCCAATAGGATAGATTCCAGTATTGAAGATCTTTATCTCCTTGTTCTAGTTTATTTACACCAGAACCCCTTCAGTCATGGTATTGCATTCGTTAATTTGACATGCCACACAAATTTAATGGTGTGCACTTGAAAGCAAAATAAAATCATCTTACAAGTCTTTCTTGATCTTGTTTGACCATACGCAAAAGAACAAACAATATAGCCATACATCACTAGTCTTATATGTGATTCTGTATCAACATAAACTTTAGTTGTGTTAAAGAAAATGAAAGCAGACTGGTGGTCAAATTAGTAGTTGCAATCAGAACAATCAGAAGTAGATCGTCTCCTACAAAATTATTTTGTGATTTTCCAAAGTAGAGCATCATTGTTTTAATCATTTATCATATAAGGCTTTATGAAAAATTAAAGTTATTCTATCTTTTGAATAGCTATATAACCAAACAATTTAGCATAACTTTCTCTTGGATCATCAGCTCAATTAATTTGCAGTACACGGGAAGCAAAAAATGAGAAAGTGTGATGATGTACAACATGAAACATTAAGTCAAAATATTTTGTTGAAAGAGACTTTTCATCCATCATTTCCTTCCTTTCGAGGGTTCATAATCATGATCTCCCCATTTTCCCCAATAAGATCAACAGAGGATCATTGATCAGCTTGGGACCTCAGTAAAGGTTTGACTCCACAGTACACTCCAATGCTACCTATGGAATCGTGTTTGTCATTATTAAAAAATAGGGATCTGACAAGGAAAACCTGGACTCGTTACTAAAATACTTAACATCTAGAGAGTCCGCCGGCTAGTAGTTTATAGCACAAGGGAAGAAAAATGGTGATAGTTACTTGATATTATTCTTGATATAGACTGTCAGCTAACAAGTTAAGCATCAAAATATCACACAACATTCCTTACCTCCAGCCCGTCTTGTTGGCATTCAAGTCCTTCCCCGCAACCACAGGGCAAGTGCAGTGATGAGAATAAGCACACACTATTATCCTTCAAAGATTTTGAAACAGCTTCAACCAACTTCAATTTAGGGAAAATTCCACTTTTGTCTTTCATCATCTGCCCTAAAAGTGATCGAACCTGTTAGATATTACATGTTTTAAAAGGAAGTAAGGTTTCAATCATTGGTGCAGAGACTTTAGTGTTCAATACTGCTTATGGCAGGACTATAGTTGAATTTGGCAAATGCTCCCTATTGCCTATTTGGTGGTTGTACATTATTATAACAAAAAGACACTGAGGAGTACAAGTATGATACTCACTATTGCGGTATTGCCTATTTGGTGGTTGTACATCGTTATAACAAAAAGACAAGAGGGGTACAAATATGATACCACACCTGATTCCGGTGAAACATAAGCGGAATGGTTTATTGCTGAATTCTTTAGAGGCTTGCATATTGTTTTAAGGACCTGAAAAATCCACAACCATAAGGAAGTTAGCCCACATGTTATTTTGATCAAGGTTCAGCATTGCATGGTGAGGCTATCAAAAAGAGTCAAAGACCAATACTAAAAGGATCAACAATATGCAAGTATAAGCAAAACTTTAAGAAACACCATCATCTATAGAAACTTTCTTGCATTGTACACACAAATAAATGAAATTTTCGTTTGCCATAACTGGGTCAAACAAACATGGTTTGTGTTGCATAAATATCTTAATAAAACTACGGCCGTGAAGAGGGTTTTGTCAAGGGCAAGTCACGAGCAGAATATTAGCAATACTGTGGCAAGAGCTGCGTTTTCTACTTCACAGATGGCCGGATCAAACAACAGCTTCCGTTCCCCAACTATGTCTACAGCAGCAACAGCAAGAGGCATTGGAACTTTGGAAGTGGTGTAATTGACTTTGGGATTGTTAGCACAGGCATGGAACGAGCTAATCTCTGATGAACCTTCTCCAAAGAGATTTGCAGCAGATGATTCACCATCTGTGAATGAAATATGATCGCAGCTAGAAGATCTGAAATTGCCAAAATATACCTGGAATATCCTAATAAGATGTTACTACTCCATGTTCACATTCCCTCAAAGGTCAATACTTAGCTGTTGAATTTTATACAAGTAGGGAGATAGAAGTTGCTGTCATTCAGTATTTGATCTGGTTACTAGATATTTGATTTGGTCATCAGTGGCTGTCTGCAGTGAGATACTCATCCATTGATTTCTAGCTGTTTTCAGTGATACCTTCCCATACTCAACAATCGGTATAATGAGCATGCCTACTTTGGCTAAGGCCTTCTAGTGGAGCCATGCGACTAAAAAAAATCCTAATGCACTTGACAATAAACCAGAATCATGATTAGAATAGAACCATGTCGTCTTCAAAAATATTGTAACCAAACAAGTGCCAAACCTTCAGAGCTTATAAATCAACTATAACATCAGAAGAAAATAAAATATTTGCTACATTTAGAATTAGTTCAAAGAGAGTCTATCCGACCTAAAAGCAAAGAGTGGATTTGACCTCAACTGAAACGAATAATGAAAACCTACAGGCGAAGAGTTCGGAAATAAAAAGGCTTGCCAATCTACATGAACAATGGATTCTACACAACTTCAAATCCATACAGGACGTGAACAAAAATTTTGTAATTAGGATTAGTTCAACATTGCTATATCTGTACGCATATACTCTGCACATGTGCACATTATACCATTTTCAACCAATGTCATTTATTTGTTTTCTTATATGCATTTATATTTATTTAATTATTTTAAACCGTCCATTTCATAACAAAGGTGTGTAATCACCTGTACTGCTGAACCAGTATATCTAAGATACAACATTTGCACTACATGTGGTTTGTCTCTGCTGTGTATGCATAGTACTCCCTCCGTTTCTAAATATAAGTCCTTTTAGAGATTTCAATTAGGACTACATACGGATGTATATAAACGTACTTTAAAGTGTAGATTCATTCATTTTGCTCCGCATTAGTCTATATTGGAATCTTAAAAGACTTATAATTAGGAACAGAGGGAGTACAAGGAAAATAGGACATGCAAAATGCCAAATCAGTCCATGGATGCTGGACACAAAGTAAACTAATGATGTGCCTAAATAACACGGTATAGAACTATCAGTGGCACAAGATTCTTTGTTGGACATATTAATTAGAATTTCTTGCGGACTGTAGATAAAAGTACCAGACCTAAATATGCACATCATTTCTTTGAAGCACCGTCTCCTTACAATTAATTCGCAACAACCATGTCAAGTTCTTTTTTGCTAGCAGGCCAATTCCAAATTGTACTTCTCCTTCTGCATCTGAATCAACCGTCAACCAAAAAAGATAAAAAGGTAATATCAACCACATTGCACATCCAGCAAGCACAAAACCAAAGCGTGGTTTGCACAGAAAAAACAAATAACAAATGGAAAGGAGTTGCAATACACAGAAAGGTCGCCAGCAAGACCCCCACCTCTTGCCGAGGACACACACGCCCATGCGCTGTCAGGATCGGGAGAGAACTGTGAGCACGCTGGTTGGGGAGGCGTGCCCTCGAT